AAACTCAATGACTCTTAAAAATTAACTTTCTTCCTTTGCACTTTTTAGCATATGCTGGCTCTTCCTGGATGTTAGAGCAAACAACTTTATGTACATTTTTATAGCTTTGAGCTCTCCATAACCCTCCTTCAGATTCTCATTTAGCCATCCATGTTCTCCATAGCCTGTGATGATACTTCTTAGATTCCACAGGTATTGCCAAGCTTTTCTTTCTGTAATTTTTCTTTCTTGAATATTTTTCTTCTATATTTTTACCATCCTTTAATACTTAAAAATTGTTTGCTTTCAAATGAAAGTTTGTTTCTTTTTTTGCTGTAATTTTTTCTCCTAGACTACTGTTCTTTGCGGGAAAAGAACAAACTGCTGTTTGAATCTGACCAACTGCCTTCAGCTTTATAAGTTTCAATTCACTTTCTACCTTCAGAAGAGGAGGGTGGAGCTAAAATTCTCAAGAGAACTGCAAGCTGAAGAGAAAGTGGTACTAGTAAACTGTGACTTACAAAATACTGGGTGCGTAATCACTGTGAAGTCCTGCTGTAAGGACCTTTTGAGAATAGAATGCTATAGAAAAACTCATGAAAACAGTTTAGGATGTTCAACCAGAGGATGAGATGAGACTCCAGTGCCAATGGGGTTTTATGAATAGAAGTTTTTGTGAAGGTGTTTGTTTTTATCAAAGTAAATACTCAGTAAAAAAACGTTTTCATTCTAATATTCCTGATCAATATATTTTTGACAGCAGAAAACACTGTGCTGGTGTCAAAAAACTATATGGATTGTAATATCAGTTAGAAATTTGCCTCCTAAAATGAGTAGTCATTTCAGAAAACATTGTCCTAGTTAAGAATTAAAGTCTTCATTATTCATTCTTACTTTCATTCCTTCCTCACTCCAAGTGGAGGCTAATTTTAAATATTCCTTTTTCTAAAAAGATGACCTGCTTAGAAAGTGATACAGGCCAGGCACTTTGAGAATCCAAACAAACAGTGTGAATGAGAGCTAGATTTTTAATTCACAGAAATTCTTCTCAGTGCCCTATAGCTGCCTGGCGATGTTCAAAGATATATATATATACACACACACACATACATGTACATATATATATATATATATATATATACACACACATTTGTAAATAAATCAGGATTAAAAAGGAGCAAAGGCTATGATAGACTGAGGGACTCGCAGAGCTTGGATTAGATTAATAAATTATCATTCTTACACAACAACAGCATTGCTTTCTATCTTCAATAATGCATAACAGATATCTAGGGTCAGATGCATTTGTAACTGTAAGGCTCAAAAGCTTGAAACAAAGATGTATCTCAGCCTTTGTGTTTAGTACCAAAATAGAATAAAAATACTGCTTTTATTAAAAAAAAAAAAGGAGTAAATGACATTAATTCCATAAAATACATCTGCATTTATATAGCCTTTTCTCCCTGACAAAGGATCTGAAAGAGATTTCCTTATAGTCATATAAATTTCCTATTACGAACTCTATTTCTGATTATTTCTGCTTAAACGCGTCCTTTAATCACCAGAACTCCAGGCTACTTTGTGTTCACTATGCCCTATTCCAATCTCCAGCCTTACAAATTATGAACTACATTTGTTGCCTCCCTACTGTGCTGAACTGAATCCTACTCAAAAGAGTAATCTCCCCAGATTCAGAGGAGCTACTCACGTAACTCTTCAGCAGCACATTAAAATATTGTAGAGCTTGCACCTACGCATCTGAGACGATCCACGCCAGTTATTCTGCCTCTATGGCTTCTTCCTGTAAATTCAGGACACCATAATGCCATCCTACCAGAAGAATATTTACTCGTTTGGCATCTGCAACCTAGCAGGAAAATTAAACAACTCACTAAGAGGGATGCCTCCCTGAAAGAGGGAGGTCTGTCTCAGGAGCGTGTGTCAGTCCTCATGCTTTGTGAAGAGCATCTTGTTTTCTTTCCTTGATGAGCCAGAGAACAGCGTAATCTGCCTGGTAGCTGTATGAAAAGCTTATCTAGTTCATTCTGTATTCATCTGAAGTTGATCCGCTTAATTATTTCTTCCATTAAACAGCCCAGTGCTGCCTTTTCCTGTTGGAATAAGCGTCTGTATTACAGGAGGAAGATTTTATGCTCAGAGGAGCTGGGATTAGAAGAACAATCACTCTGCTATCAGAGATTTGTGTTTGGAGGCCGATTGCTTTGGAGCACATAGGAAAATTTCTGCGTTGATGCGCATCTGTGTTGTGACATAATTTCAAGCTGTGGCATGGCAGCAGATATTCTAGTCCACAGAATGAGAACTGCTGGTTTGGGATAAAGAAGACACGTAGCGCTATTAAAAATCACAAGGAAGCACACGGCAAAGTAGGCCAATGTAACTGCTTACAGCTGACTTCATGGGCTGTGGTGTGCAGCGCTCTCTTGAAACAGAGCATTTTGGGGCAGAGGAGGGATTGATGCATTCTTTTCTGGTACTGCAGCGAATTCCATTAGACCATAACAAAACGGAGAATCAGGGAAAGGAAAGGCTTTGAGATCTCTGGCTCTCCAATGTACCGAGATACAAGCACTCTTCACAAGTATGGCAAACTTGTCACGGGTAGTCGTGCGGAGCTTCCCTCTCTCCAGTGCTACCTTGGTTTTTCTCTCCTGCGCTCTACTCTCCATTCATCTGCACCTCGTGAAATTGCCTAGCATTTGTCTGCTTTGTAGTTATGATCATCTGAAACAAGGCACTCACACATTAAATGACGGAGAACTCGCTAGAGTTGATGCAGTTTCTGTTTGCAACCACAAACTGCCCAGTGGTGCTCAGAACTTTGCTAAACGTTACTTCAAAAATGCACGAGTCCTGCCCAGTACTGCTTTGGAGCACAGCCACGTCAGTATTTACTTCAGCAGCTTCACTGAGCAGCCAGTTGGATTCAGTGCTGTCAGTCTGGAGATATCCTAGCTGCACAGACAAGGAAATGTGCTGAAAGCTGGTTTCTTATGTGACGCTCAGAAGGTTTCCCATCATTTTTACTTGGCTATAACCTTTGACACTTTGGAAATATTAATTAGCAAGCTGAGTTCTCCATACTTTTTTTTTTTCCAAGACTGTTATCTCAAAATTCAGATCAGCCAAAATTGGATCGTGTCTCCTTGTGTGACTCGGTTGCTTCAGAAAGTTCTCTGTTAACTGAAAACCCAGTGACAAGTCAGCTTATGTGTTTTGTTTGGATAAATACGTTTATGCTTCCTGTGAGAATTCATATTAGTAGGCACTAATAAATGCTTCCTGGTTCAGGCCTGAAGCCTTTAATTTCAGACACTACAGAGAACCTGAGCCCAAAGTACATGCTGTATCCATTTTGTGGGAAAATGAGTAAAAAACCAAATGACATAGAACTTATCTTTTGTACAGTTAAAGCACTGACTAGGAGCACCTCATATCATGGCAACTCCACTGTGAAGGTACATTCAAGGTCCAGGTGATTATAAACTGGAAACACTGAACTTGGTTGTGACACTCAATGCTGTTGAAAGCCAAGTTTCATTTGGGGTGTCTGTGACTTGCTTTGTCAGATTCTTACTTTTCCCTTTTCATTGGAGAGCGGTAAGCTTCCATAGCAAAGTCAGTCTCAGCCTTCTCTGCCACCAATGTTCATCCCCCTGCCTGTTATCCTCAGGTGAGTGAGCTGCTAATGCTGCTGCTGAAGTTCCCTCCTAGAGTGAAGAGGTTTATGTGGTGGGTGCACAGCACACCCCATATAAAGATAGGCAGTGCCGAGTAAGAAAACTGTAAGTAGGCTTAAAACAAGAGCAATATCTAATTTCAAAAAGACATCACAAAGAACAACAACAAAATAATTTAATCCTCTCAATCTGAAATATGCCAGGAGACCACAGAGATGCGAGGTGAGAGTCTCAGTTCAGGACTGTAATTCCGTCAGGACATACTGAACTTTTAAACAGTGTCTTACCATCAGTTATATATAGGCTTAAATGCTTTCCTGAAGTGAAGTCTAAGAAACATACACCTTGATCTTACTAGTAGTAATGTTGGGTTTGTTTGGCTCTCAGTGATGCTCTCCATTTGAGTACGATTTGATCTTTCAAAAGATCAAATGAAATTGGATCAAATTTCAAACCAATTTTCAAATGAAATATGTACTGACCCTTGGCATCAGCAGCTTTCCCTTTGTGGATTTCTGTAGTGTATCATTCTTGCTGAAGGTTTGTTCTCCATAGGGTCTGCATTATTAATTTCTATTTGCATTACTAAGAGGCTGGCTCATGCATTGAGAAGAATGCTTTTTTCTCCAGGAGTAAAATTTGTGGTCTTGTACCTAATCCCAAGTGGGATTCCTTCATTGAACTTCAAGATGTAATACAGACATATTTCACAAGTTTCCCTTTTCCCTACATAAGAAATCTGTGCCAATCAAGGACTTAATCCAATCAATTACATTTTTTTCTTCTATGGAATGTGTACAGAGGTGTGGTTGTAATTTATTTTTTTCTGTCTCTTGAGTTTTGTAAGTCGCTTCTGTTTTGGACAGTATTGTCTGAACTCAGCTTGCCTGGATTATAGATGAGCTGTTATCTGACTTTATATGAAAGCACCCTTTTAAAGCACTAAAGAATGCTACACGAGAAAATCTAAATCTGTAGTTCTGATATGTATACTGTAATTTGTGGGGAAATAATGAAAAACAAAGAAAAACAAGCAAGGTAAGAAAAGCAGTGTTTCCTCAGTAAATTTTAGATTGAGTGAGACTTAGAGGAAGGCTTTCTATTATTCTATGACTTTTCTATCCTATTAGAAGAAAAATATAAGGCATTCTTTTAATATAGCACTGTCAGCTTCTGTGGATTAAGGTCAAATCTCAAGTAAAATAGAGAACAGACTATCTTCATTCATAAACTTATAAGTGAATTTTAGTTATAATCAAGTCATGGAAATAAAATAAGAAAACAAGAATTTAAATTAAAGAACAAAAAGATTGTACTTACATTGGTGACATATTCAATATCCTTCCAAATATTACATTCCCTGGGAAAATCTGCCAATTCTAAAAAATTATCCACTACCACTTGGCCAATCAAGTCATGCCTGGAGAATCTGTCAAAATCATAGACAGAGAAATGGAGCTTCCGTGCATTCAGATCATTGTATGGAACAGTAAATAAAAAAACTTCATCAAAAACTGGATTTAGGGTTTTTCTGTGCACTTTAGTCTGGTGTTTTGTTTTCCTATCAGGAAGGAGATATATCTTCACATATGGATCTGAAGTTCCCGAGAAGTCTTTTGCTGGCAGGTTGATGGCCTTGTGTATCTTCACTATCAGCTGCTCTAAATCACAGTCATATTTCAGAATAAAGTTCAGCTTTCCACATGCCTTGCTATTACTCCTCCGGCCATCATCTGTGTCCACGGATCTCTGTTTATACAGCTCTGGCTTAATGCGGCCAATTCCAGTCAGTTGCTCCTGTTTCTGAACCTGCTGAATGTTGAAGTCGGGATTGGAGAGGTTGAGCTGTCTTCGGATTGAGTTATGCCTTAAGTGAAAACAAGAGAAATAGGTTGGGTTGGCGATCGTAAGAATCTGTGCACACAGTGAAGATGCTCTTTTCACTTAACGTGTTTTCTCAACATACAACATCCGCAGTGTCAGACTTTTACTTGCATAATGTTATAAAACACAATAATTAATTTTCTCAATCTAGTGGTATAAACTCTCCAAATTTGGCTGAAGAATGTAACAAACTCAAATTCACTCCATTGCAAATCTACTGTATTACAGTCTATTGCCAGTAACTGTTATCAGTTACCATTTTCTGCAGAATCTTCTGGATTAATGCCTATGAAAATAGGTCTTTACAGGCTAGATCCTATTACAACTGACATACCCACTGAGCTTGGTGATTTCTGGTGTCAAGATAAAGATGAACAAAGAAGATACTTCTTCATAGCTCTGCGTTTCAGTGACTTGTTGATCTCCACTACTACCCCATTGCTAAGTGAACTATTCTGGCCTGAAGTTATTTGTTGATCCTCCCATTAGTTGTTTCTTTTTGTTTTTCACTCATGACTGATGTAATGAGCTCTGAAGTACTTAGGCTGCAAAGCTCCTTTAATTTCATTACTCCAAGGAGAGAAAGTTGTTTTATCTTCAGTCCAGTGAGATTTATTACCTGGATTCGCTCTTTTATTGTGATTGAAATTTCCACTTCATGAGATAACAGAAATCAAATCTGCAATCACTGCAGGGGTGAATCACTTTCAGGGATGTGAAAGCTGGATTAGGTAAAATCCTAATCTTATGAGTTGGTTTCTACTTTATTGTCCTATTCATATGCAGCAATTGTTCAGTGTATTGGAGTACGATGAACTGTGGTTGAATATGAAAGGATAACGTGGAAAATGCTGACATAGGGTTAAGTCAAAACTATTTATATTGAATGTAATCAACAATAGTTACTTTGCTTCTGCTGTTCTTTTATTCCTTCTAAATGTGTGTTTATGGATGTGCAAATCCCCTTACAAACTACCCTCATATTTATTTTTTTCTGTTGGTGTACAATAAATACATAATTTTATAGGTATACATAGGTAACTGACATGAAAAAATATTATCAAGTCACAGAAGAAGACGTATACTGTTCAACTGTAAGTTCCTCGGAGCAGTGGGAGGTGCAGAATATCCTTGGAGCAGTAAAAAGGAGGGAATGCTTCCTTGCCGAAGTCTTAATAAGGATTATAGCAGAGGCAGGTGCCTGGTCTCTGTGGCCACACAGGAGACTTATGCAAGGAAGGAGAGGAAGGAGCAGAGACAAAGGTGAACAAACAAAAGGTGTGGTACAATAAAGATGGGCCCCTCCTTTTGAAAAAGACCTGGGCAAACATATGAGGTAATGAATGAGGTTGCAATGAGCGATCCTACTATCAGCGAACAGAATAGTGAGAAGACCTGGGCAAGTCATTTCCTTGTGGGCATAGAGACAGACTAGGAACAGCTGGCAGAAGAACAAACTGCAGAAATTCACAGAAGTGAAGACGTAATTGTGGCTGTTTCTTGTGAGATGACTACATGGTGGTGATGCTGCGCATTTGTGGTCATATGACCACGTGTGAGAATTGCTAGCCTGTTGTAGAAGAGTTCCTATATTTGATTCCATGATTTCATGACACCAAAGACACATAAACATGTGAGAGTTCTTGGTGTTAGACATTCGATATGAATCTTCTGTTGTTAATGAATCTCACATCATGCTTATTTCCTAGCACTTTGTAAACAGAGCAGCACCAGCCCTGTAGTTCTGGGGTATCAGTTTTGGGTCAGAATTCAGCCTTGCATGCGGTAGAGTGCAAACCTGAGCATCTGTAATTACGGTTTGACCTCCTCAGCGATTCCTACATCAAAATGAGCCCATTCTTACACTAATCTAAAGAGAAAAAGTACTTGGAGATTTTGCTTCACAGCATTAATGTTGTTTTGGGATCTTCTCAAATTCTGCAACGTATGTTTTGCACTACTGGCAATTCCTGAACTGGCTGAGAGCTGCTGTCCTTTTACCCAGGTGACCAGAAAAGAGGCTACCAGGAAACTCTTGGATGACTGCTGTTCCTTCCCCAGCTAGACTCAGAAATTTACTGACTGACTCTCTGCACATTGATCCTTTCTCTTACTGTGTGAAGCTTAATCCTTTTATCATCTGTCCCCACACGGTCACACCCTGCTTGTTTCCTGTTCCCTCCTGGGTTAGTTCTCCTGTTCCCCTGGAGTCTTCACTGACTCTTGTTCAGTCACTGTCACCCCCACAGTTATGATTGTGGCTAAAATCTATGACTTTAAGTCCTATCCCTAACTCTTGCAAGTGTTTCATTAGCCTGCCCTACTTTTCTTCGTTAGCTGTTTTAAAAATGTTCGAGGAGACATTACTGAGTGCTCAGCATCACTGCTTAGTGCAAATGGATATGCTTTACAAGCTAAATGTAGGCTGTTATGGTGCTTTAAGGCACCCACTTCTCTCGCTGCTGACAGAGAGGAACAAATGAGGCAATAGCTGACACAATGGTGGAATGTCATTGTGATCCTGTGCTTTTAATCTAAGAGACTTGTGCACCTTGATAATTTTACATATTTTTTTAAAAAAAGAACACGACCAGTAATTATGAATTCGTAATAGACCAGCATACCAGATAATCAAGCTGTAATTCTTTGTCTATGTCCATATTCATTAATACTAGAGATAAATGGAAGTTACTGACCGTGCAGAAGAGGTTGGTTCAGTGATCTGACGATGCATTCGTGCATTGTGTACACAGTTCTCCTTTGTCCCCTCCTGAGCATCCACTGGGATATCAGGAGAGGTGTGGCTGATCTTCATGGAGGACTCTGGGTAGGTTGTTGGCTGACCAAGATAATCCTCGCTGTAGTCATGGTCATTGGTCTCTGTATCTGTGTAGTTCAGGGACTCTTGTTTCTCTTTGTTCCCAAATGGCAGGCCACGCTCTCGCCAAGGAATCCAGCAAAGCTTCCAGGACACGAACAGGGACACACCAAACAGAGCAAGACCACAGGCTGTGACAACTAGGGAAAGCAAGCTTATTGAGATATCTGCAAACAAGAACACATGTATGGCACGTTTAGTGCTTTTTGTTAGGAAGTCTGTATCTCTAAGGCATAGAATGTGGGAAGTAAATGTCTCTAGATTGCAGGTCTTCTAAATTCTGATTGGTGCAGCAGTCACAAAATGGGAACATATTAAATTTTCTATTCTTTTTTAAAATCTTTTTTTTTTTTCCAATAAGAAAAGAACAAACTTATTTTGAACTTCAGTGTAAGACTCATTTTGATAGAACTGAGTTTATATTTTCCTTTCAAAAGGTAAGTGTATTGAAGGGCCTTTCTAAATATAAAAAAAAAAGGCTGTCTATTTGATCACTCAGTTTTCAATTGGTGACAAAGTAACACCTGCAATACATTTTTTCCCTTTATTTTCCTTTTGAGTAGTGCAGTTTCCTTCATAGTTTGCCAGTTCTTACTCCCTTCTCTTCTAGAGACTGTTAGATACTTTCACAATCAAAAACATTTGCACATGCATACATGGATTTTTTAATGTATTCAACTGAAGTATCTTCTGTTATTATTAGTTATTTTCCTCCCAATCCTAGACTCATACTTGCAAACAGTTATTGACTATGAATACATGTCCTGCTGTTCATCATTAGTTTAGATACTAATATCTCTTCAAAACTGAGATTTTTAACTTTGAAGGCTCTTTACTCCGCTTCCAAACTTCTGGTATAAAAGGAATGCAGAGATGACTCTCGAGTTGTTTTTCTCCACATTCCTAGCATTATCCTACTCCATAATCACATGAACAGACTTAATTTACAACTAGGAGAGACTTTTCTGTTTTGTTTTGTTTTTAGTTGCATGTTAGGAAAATGACTCAGTGGAGCAGCTGCTTTTATGGTTACAGTGTTTTTGAAATTAGTTTCTCTGCAGATTACAGAACAGATCACGCCTTAAACACAGTGTGAATTCTATTTTACAGCCTCAAATTATAAGCAACCTTATCAAGGCCATTTTTCATACTGCTTTATGTATTTAGAATATCAGCCTGCATCTCTATAGGTAAGAGCTAGCCTAGATTTTAAAAGGGTGGCATGAGGTTGAAAGGTTGCTCTTAGTGGGACAGTTATTTAAGGATGGCAATTCAGATGAAACAGCCTCAGTTAATTTGAACAAAGAATATTTTTTATAAGTGAAAAAGCCAGTAGACTCAGCCCCTGATGCGAGTCATTCTCACTGGCCAGACAGATTAAATTTCTGCAGAGTGGAGAGTGACACTCCAATCAGCTTCATGCAGGAACTGTCTGGTTTATTTTGCATGCTGAAAACCAATTTTAAACATTTTTAGCCAGAATCATCTCTTCTGTCCTTCTCCCAGTGTGAAGACAAAGTTCATTAGCAGTGGGGACAGCCTAGCATCTACCTACAGTTACGGCAAAGCGTTTCAGAGCTAAAATTAATTAAAGAAATTCTTCCCATGCATAAAAGGCAATGTGGGAGAAAGTAGAACAGTGGTTCTTGATATTTTTGGAATATTCACCGGTAAACAAGCCTGGCAGTGGAGGCAGAGACAACTTCTCCGTGTGATTAAAAGGCAGAAGAACTGGGATGCAGTCATGAAGGAGGACCTTGAGAGTAAAATAATTTGTCTTAGATTCCCTGGAGGACATACACTAGATGTCTGCCAAAAGGTTGCTTTTTCAAAGAACTAATTGGTATAAATGATCCGGCATTGAAGGAAATGAAAAACTGGGAGCTGTCAGAACGAGGCAAAAGATCACAAGGTGAGAACTGAACAAGAGACTGCAGAATGCAGAATGCAATGTGTGAAGGTGAGGAACAATTTGAAAGGCAGACCACCAGTTCCCAACCTTGAGAATGATGTTAGCAGCAAACACAGCCATCTAGAGAACTGACATCATGAGTAAAAAAAATAAAAAACGATTGCAGTATAAACTACATTTCATTCAGAGAGTTTGAAAAGCTTTACTAATATGATTCCTCATTTAACAGAGTAACAGTGAGAACCCTCATCTCATCACTTTCAGAGAAGATGGTTGATAAACAGTTTAGGTGACTTGCCAAGATACAAAATAAGAAGTGATAAATCTTCATCATCTTGGTTTTACTTCTGACTCTTTAGGTAGAAACCATGTTTTTTTGGTGTGGCTGTTTTATTTCTGTGGGTGGAAAAGGGACGATCACGTACCCATCTTACGGCTATGAAGGAGAGTGGGACTGAGCAGCTCTAAACTGTTGCCTTTCACTGGCCAGTAATTTTCAGCTATTACCCTCCTGGCTATCAATTTGCAGTAGCAGGCCAAGTTCGGTTTAGATAGCTGAGGTCAGTGCAGTGTTAAGCAAGTGTCTTTACTGTATTCTGGAGCTGCTTTTACACATAAATTCTTCATAGACACTCATAAGAAGGGAAAAAGAGATTCAAAATGTAAATATATATATATATATTTTGTTTTGTAGTAACAGCATTTGTGGGACAACCAGGGGATCGGGCTTAGCCAGAATGGGTTCATGAAAGGCAGGTCCTGCTTGACCAACCTGATCTCCTTGTACGATCTGGCAGATGAGGGAAAGGCTGTTGATGTGCTCTACCTAGACTTCAGCAAAGCCTTTGACACTGTCTCCCACAGTATTCTCCTGCAGAAGGTGGCAGCCCGAGGCTTGGACAGGTACTCTCTTTGCTGTGTAAAGAACTGACTGGATGGCTGGGTCCAGAGAGTGGTGATGAATGGAGTTAAATCCAGCTGGTTACCAGTTACAAGTGGTGTTCCCCAGGGGTCGTTATTAGGGCATGTCTTATTCAGTGTCTTTATTGATGACCTGGATGAGGGCATTGAGTGCACCCTCAGTAAGTTTGCAGATGACACCAAGTTGGCTGGAAGTTGATCTGCCTGGGGGTAGCGAAGCCCTACAGAGAAAGCTGGATAGCCTGGATAGCTGAGCTGAGGCCAATGGGGTGAAGATCAACAAGTACCAAGACCTGCATTTTGGCCACAACAACTACAGGCTTGGGGCAGAATGTCTGGAAGACCGTGTAGAGGAAATGGACCTGGGGCTATTGATCAGTGCTCAGCTAAACATGAGCCAGCAGTGTGCCCAGGTGGCCAAGAAGGCCAATGGCATCCTGGCTTGCGTCAGAAACAGTGCTGGCAGCAGGAGCAGGGAAGTGGTGAGGCTGCACCTTGAGTACTGTGTTCAGTTTTGGGCCCTTCATTAAAAGAAAGACACTGAGGCCCTGGAGTGTGTTCACAGAAAACAACAAAGCTGGTGAGGGGTCTGGAGCACAAGTCTCATGAGGAGCAGCTGAGGGAACTAGGATTATTTATTCTGGAGAAGAGGAGGCTCTGGGAGAGACCGTATAGCTCTCTACAAGTTCCTGAAAGGAGATCGTGGTGAGGTGAGAGTCAGCGTGTTCCCATGTGACTAGCAATAGGACTGGAGGGAATGGCCTCACGTTGTGCCAGGGGAAACTCAGTTTGGATGTTTGGGAATTTTACTTCCTCTCCAAAAGAGTGGTCAGGCACTGGAATGGTCTGCACAGGGATGTGGTGGTGTCACCGTCCCTGGAGGTGTTCAAGAAACATTTAAATGTTCTACTGAGGGATGTGGTTTAGTGGGAAATATTGGTGATAGGTGGATAGATCTTTTCCAACCTTGGTGATTCTACGATTCTGTGATTCTGTGACAGAAACATTTTAGCTTTAATTATTAAGAAATGCTCTTATGTAAGCAGAATATTTTGTTTGTAATTCAGGTAAATTGGCTTCATATTGAGATGATTTATTAAGTGCAATCAAAATAACATGTGAGCACAACACTCAAAAGTATACCTGATGAATGAAACTGATCAGTTTCTATGATAATCTTGACTTTCTTCCTCCTAAGTTAAATTTGTTTTGTAAAATTTCTTCTTGCTTGCCTGCACATCTATTTCCTCAAAAAAGACTTGGTCTGCATTAACACAAAATTCCTTGGCAATTTAGCTGACATATCACAATCATGGGCCTGGGTTGAAAAGGACCACAATGCTCATCCAGTTCCAGCCCCCTGCTGTGTGCAGGGTCACCAACCAGCAGACCAGGCTGCCCAGAGCCACATCCAGCCTGGCCTTGAATGCTTCCAGGGATGGGGCATCCACAGCCTCCTTGGGCAACCTGTTCCAGTGCGTCACTACCCTCTGTGTGAAAAACTCCTAATATCTAACCTAGACCTCCCCTGCCTCAGTTTAAAACCATTCCCCCTTCTCCTATCACTATCTATCCTCGTAAACAGCCATTTCCTCTCCTGTTTATATGCTCCCTTCAAGTATTGGAAGGCTGCAATGAGGTCTCCTCAGAGCCTTCTCCAAGCTAAACAAGCCCAGTTCCCCCAACCTTTCCTCACAGCACAGCTGCTCCAGCCCTCTGATCATCTCAGCGCCCTCCTCTGGACCCGCTCCCAGAGCTCCACGTTCTTCCTGTACTGGGGGGCCCAGGCCTGGACGCAGTACTGCAGATGGGTTCTCACAAGAGCTGAGTAGAGGGGGACGATCACCTCCCTCTCCCTGCTGGTCACCCCTCTTTTAATGCAGCCCAGAACACAGTTGGCCTTCTGGGATGCAGGCGCACACTGCTGGCTCATGTCCAGCTTCTCATCCACCAGGACCCCCAAGTCCTTCTCCACTGGGGCTGCTCTCAAGGGCTAAAGCCTTGCACTTGGCTTTACTGAACCTCATTAGGTTTTCATGGGCCTCTGCATGGCTTCCCTTCCTTCCAGTGTATCGTCTGCAACGCTCAATTTGGTGCTGTCTCCAAAAATGTCTTCACTGATCTAAGAGCTGGCCAAGTGAGCTGCAAGTTAGCATTCCAGAGATTCTTAGACAGAATTGAGAGGAGTCATATCTTCAAGGATTTGCATGTTTCTTTCTGACTTTTATGGTTGCAACTGTCTAGGAATTATATACATTATGTTCTTCTTGTGACAATGAACACTTCCATTTTTTAAGAAATAAGAATACAAATAAAACAAAACAATAAAAGTTGTCGTGACGGCATATACACAACCGTAGTTGCACGCATACAGGAGAGTACCCAAACTACACACTGGGTTATAGAAATGAGCATTGAAGGTCTGATGTCAGTACATACTGAAGTTTTATACTGGTTGTACTAAAGTTGACCGCAGAGATAAATTCAACACTTTACAACCACTGATCTAAACAGTTCTACAAATAAAGTTTGAAAAAAAATTGTAACAAATGTTACAGTACTTAAAAAAAATTTAAAAAATCAGGAAAATCAAAACAGTGCATTTCAACATTCATTTACTGCCCTATCAGTGAAGTAACCACAGGCATGCTGCTCTCTGAATCTGAGGCGTCAGCCTGAGTTCACAGAAGTGATGTAAATTGCTGCTAGTGACTGCTGAAAATGAACCTGTTACATGCTCTTACATTTCTGGAGTAAAATTGCACAGAATTATACCTGGAGAAATGTGGCCACATCAAAGGGCTAAAGGGGGGCACTGAATAAATCAATGAATGGGAAAGGTGAGATGTTACTGAGAACTTGTTGGATTCGGAGAGAAAACAAATCTTCAGTGGGTGACAGATGGGGGACAAAAGACAAAGATAACAGCTATATATCATCTTATGTATTGTTATCTTCCAGCTTGGCAAATCCCTTGTACCTTCCTGTCAGCAGTACCCATAGCTGTTTACTCTGGAAAAGATAAACAACCAACAGATTATGATGATAAATGATAAAGAGCCATATCAATAACTAGCTCATTAAGGCTAGAAATTCTGGCAGCTGCCAAGGTTAAGATGTTCCAGCTTTTATGGAAAAAAAAAAAAGGCTTATTTTTGCCTGTACAAATAACAAATTAACCTGTACATAGTAAGAGAAACATTTCTTAACTAACACATTTCTTCAAAAAGGTCTGCTCAGTCAGAATTTAATTTGTTTTTCATTCATTTTGACATGAAGGGTCAAAATACATTGTAGCATTTCAGGATTTTAATGCTGGTAGTAACTTAACTGAAGACTTTAGCTTTCCATGTGTCTAGAAGTATTACAAGCTGCAAGAGACATCACAGTGCATTTAACACCTAAGAAAAGCAGGATTATATTTTAGATGTTTAAGAAATCTTTTGCACAGAGACTTTATGCACAAGAAAGGAAGCATCCACTTTTGAGCTCCAGAGAATCTGTGGTTAGCAAAAGTATCAGAAACTCTTATATATCATACAAAAAGCCACCTATTGCAATGACTGCTTGTTCAAATCTATTTACCACTATCAAGCACTGTGAAGAAAATGTATTATTATTTTAACGTACCTAAGAAAAATGTTCAGCAGTTAAGAAATTAGCACTTAATATTTTAAAAGGGAATTCAGCACAGTGACCTCAGGCATACAGAAAGAAATCCTCTGTGCACCTTGAATAGCCTGAGTTTGACTAGCAGCTAGATGCAAGCTTAGTGTACTCCCAGGATTGGGATTATTCAGGAATAAGTGATTAAGATTAGGTGTCTTCTAACACCTTTCTTGTCAAAATCTTCAGAGTGCTTCTTTGGTGCAAAATGCATTCATCATTACTGTTAATCAGCTGGCAACATCAATTAATTTCAAATATCGTACAACTATGGAAAGTAATGCAACCCTAGATAGAGAAAAATGTAATTTAAAAGAATCTTGAGAGAAATCTGTAAGCTACTGTTTTTCAGATTTTCTGTCTGAACAGCTTAGTGATGTTGTATCTGAGACATTCACTCCTTCTGTGCTGCTGTGTGGGCATGTAATTCTTAGTCTCTGAAAGCCACATTTACATACAAGAGTTTTTGTCCCAACATTGCAGATGTTTCTGTTGGTGATAATGTTCTAGTATGCTTTTTTTTTCCCTGAAGAGACATTTTTAAAGGCAACACTTGGATAACACCAAGACCCATTTGTTTTAGTAAGGGAAAAAATATTTTTTTGTATGTTTACAGACATCTTCCTTGTAGTTGTAAGTTTATCGTACACAACCAGAATAAATTCTTTCTAATAGACAGCTGCAAAATAGAATGGAAACAGGTTAAATTCCATTCTGGGTATCAGCTGAAGCTGAAGCTGAAGCTTCTTTCCACACCTGAATGGGTAAACTCCCTCAGACTAGGTCAGCTCATCCAATTTTCTTCAAGAAGAAACTTGTTTCAACTCACTGTTTTCTGACTTTTCAAACAGTATAAATCTCGTAGGGATTTCATTGATAGGGACCACTTCAGACATTTTACTGATGATACAAAAAATAAAGTGCAGACTATGATTATGCTTGCATTCTATATTTGCTCCAGGTCTCAGCTCAAGGAACCACCTTGCTCACCACTGCTGTGCCTGGATTAGGTCTGTTAGTCTGCGTGGAACACGCCTCAGCTCAGAGATGTGGACCAGCTGCTGAGATACAGTAAGGCACTGCTTTTTAGATGCTTACCCGTTGGGTTGTTACTGTGTGACTCATACTACAGCTCAATTGCATGGAAGATGGGGAGACCGTACCATTAATGGTGTTCTAAGGTAACACTGTTATTACGTAACAGATCAGATGAAATGATGACTACTTCAGCTCCAATAAAGTTCTGGTAGTTGTTACTTCCCAGATGCAACCTGTGTTTCACTCCTACTGCTCCTTCTTATTTCCACTGGTAAATGAATCAGGATTGCATCAATGCTAGCCACAAACCTGACTCCACAATGATAGGGAAGGAAAGCACTAATGCTTTCTCAAATGAGATGCATTGTAACTTTTGTTTTACTGTCCCTATTTCTTAACTGTTATCCTTTAGCTTCCTGTTACAGTGTCCCTTGTTCTCTCCACACTGCCTGTGAGAAAGAGCTCAGATGTGTCTAAGCTGGTTGCTGTTCCATGGGCGTGGGTGCTCACTGCCTCTCCTGAACTCAACATCCTCTCCCCTGAAAAAACTGATTGCAGTTATTGTGATACTAGTTACTTTGCAGTTAGCATGAATTGAAGAAGAGATGTTTTGCTTTTTGCTTTGTTAGTTTGATCCTTCTGAAGGCACCGCTGGCCCCACAGTTCTGGTTACTTCAGGTCTCTTAGATTCCTGAAGCTCGATTAAGCTCTGTAAGAACAGAACACGCTGCTCTTTGAAAGCAGTGTGTGCAGAGAGCAAGAAAAATCCCACTGAAATGCCCCTGCTCCAGATCTTTGCCCTGAATTCCCAGACACTTTAGAGCTTTGCCATAGTAAGCTTTCTGGAGGACAATTATAACTACCTTTGTTTTGGCACTCAGTACCAAATGTACTGGATATAATCTTTAGTAACCAGCCTGCCAGGAAAAGAGCTCTTGATTTTTTAAAGCTAATTCTTGTTTTCAACAACAGATCCTTAGCCTAGAAAAGAAAACAATTCACTCATTGAACATTGAGGTGATCTTCTCATACACCTGTTTTTGTCAAATAATACCAAAACATGTTGTTTAGGCATTCTTCTTCTAAGAAAAATCTACAACTATGCAATGGTCCTAAGTTTCTTTATTAGGTAATTGTAGGAGCTTGAAAGATGCAAATGTCAGGAAAAGATATAAGGAATTTGATAGTCATTCCAGTCAAGGAGAAACTATACCCTAATAATCATATATTTCCACCCTGAAAGGAAATCTTTAATCCTCCTAGGAGCAAGAAGAGAAAAGAAGAAAAAGAGATTTTGACATTAACTAGAGAAACTGCAATTGTGTATGTCGTTTACTCAAGAAGTAATTTCTATATTCTAGTTTTCTTATTATTAAAAAAAAAAAAAAAAAACTGGGAAATAATATAAACGAGGCTAAGAACTGGAATAAGTTTGTAATTTATTAACTTTTGGCTGTCCTCTGAATGTACTCTGAGTGCTCCCCTGAAGTCATATGTGTACATTTTATGAAATGTCCCTTATTAGAAAAGACAGAATAAATTGAAATAAGTAATTGAATTTCTTTCTGCTTGTGGAATACAAGCAGTTGTATGAAACGTCCTTGTGAATTAAAATTATCAAATTGGCAATTTTTATGGAAAATTTCTTCAAGACCTCAGGTTATCTTAGTGAAAAAGAAAATGTCAGCTGTCTGCCTTAGAACAGTGTTGCCATTGTTTGTTTAAGAAAATCAAAGAACGCTCTTGAAATTTGCTAGGAAGCATTAAAATTTTGCATGCACTCCCTACAAGCATCCAAACACACACAGTTGAAGCCACTGGGGATAAACCTGAATCTGGCAAACGTTAATCAAATGTAAACAGACCAAAAATGTGTTTGAAAACCCTAATGGTTCTTTGAAGAATTGCCTGTAATGTTTTTCTATCCACATTACCAAGTAGCAGGTAGCACAAAGCTGTTAAATTATCAGTGTTAAACTGTTTATCACTAAGCAGCTTTTTTCATCCTTCCATAAATATCAAAGTTATTGAAATGCCTTTTTACAAATGGACAAGGGAAACCAATATGGAGCGCAGTTGTTCAAGGTGAAGTTGGGTGAATCAGTTAAAAAGTTAAAGATGGAATTGGGATCTTCTGATTTTTAGTCCACTGACCTTTCCAGCTGCTTCTAGTAAAACAGCCTGCAGCTTGGTAGAAAGAGATGCACAGTTTAGTGAATGTTGCTTAGTGCAAAAGGGGGATTATGACCAGTAAGCAGGTGATACATCTTTTCCAAATAATCTAGTTATAAATTAGTGAAATAATTGAGTTCTGGGGAAGCTGTTATCTCTGCAAATGCACCTGCCTTCTGTTAGACAGTAGGCGTAGTGCCGCTGCATCTAGAGTGCCACTGACAAAATGAACAGGTTTGAGAAGCTGTCATGATATTCTGGACCGCTGCAGACTGGAGGATTGCTTACTGTAAATTCTTAAGTTGAAAACCAAGAGACACCTAGTAGGTCCTAAGATGCCTGAAATACAGCACAAAGCAATAAATCTCTATGTCTATGATGATGTTAAAACAAACAAACAAAACAATAACAAAGCAAACAAAAAATCAGAAGTTTTAATAAATGTAGTAATGTTAGAAGATCCAGGCAGAAAATCTAAATACTGTTCATCTTCAATCTTATATTATTCTGATAGTAAAGATTTATAGTGGATTCATACTCTGTGTAATAACAGGGCACATAGTATGTAGGTGGAACTGCTATTGAATTTAATTGTCTCTTTTAACTTAGAATTTTGTAGATGTCAATATTGCTATACTTTCTTCTAAAGCAAAATCTGAAGTAATCTTTTCTTATCGAAAGTCCATTTTACATAACAACTTTAATCTGATAATTGAATGGAAAATATCAAAATAATTAACTACAATAAATGCAATCTCCAAGATAAGCCAGAAATCCACCCGTGGTATTTAAGCTTGTCTTTTCACTTGCACTAAGTGAAAGTCATACAAATAAATTAGTTTCTGTTTACATCCTGCATTATGATAGAAGATATTTCTAATACTTTATGTACTTCTAGTGGCAGTAATCATCATATCCAAACTCTTGCAGAGATTTTTGACTGGTGCTCACAGCAAAGAGAATCTAATGGATTTACATTTTCATTAATTAAGTGAATTTAGCTAGATTTGTATCTTTTCCCCTAAAATTACTTCCTCCAGAAAAAATTAGAACAGCTAGTTCCTTAAATATGAGGAACTAAATAGTACCCTCTGCTTAACTTAATACAGCAGAAAAGCTTATATGATGAATAGTTCTTTGAACTACCCTACTAGGAAATGAAGGGAGCAAGTGCTGTCAGTCTAAACCTCAAAATCAGACCAACATGCAAACCTCTGCTAGTATCAGGAGGCAGCATAGCTCCCCATTCCTGGGAAGGAAAATTTTGCATGCTGCTGTCTTCTTTTGCATGCTCCTGTCTGTAAGAACGGCTTCATGTCTGCTGTCCTAGAATGCTTCTTGGCAAAAGTCTTCCTTTTATTGAGGTTTCGAGACAGACCATGTTAATTCTGGAGCTTGGGCTATCAAAATAAAAAATACTGCCAGGCTAAGCTCATAGATGAATTCACATGTGCAATTCAGTGCACACCACAGAATTCCATATTTTGACCTTGGATGTGCAGAGGTAATACATTCCTTTCAAGGACTGCTATCAATTTCATATGCAGAAAACAATCGTCTCTTCATTGGATGGCTACAAGCTTTTCAGAAGGGACAGAGGAGGAAAGAGGGGTGGCGGTGTGGCCCTTTGTATTAAAGACTGTCCTGATGTTGAAGAGCTTGGAGTTCGGAATGACAAAGTTGAGAGTCTATGGGTAAGGATCAGGGGAAGGCCTGTAGGAGCAACATCTTGGTGGGGGTCTTTTATAGACCACCTAATCAGGATGAAGCGATGGATGAGGCATTCCATGAGCAGCTCATGGAAGTCCCACGATCGCCAGCACTTGTTCTCTTGGCAGACTTCAACTTCCCTGATATCTGTTGGAAATATAATACAGCACAGAGGAAGCAGTCCAGGAGGTTTCTAGATTGCATGGAAGATTGCTTCCTTATGCAACTGGTAGGAGAGCCTACCAGGGGTGTTGCCCTGCTAGACCTGGTTTTCACTAACAGAGAAGGACTGGTGGGAGAAGTGAAGGTTGGGGACTGTCTTGGGCAGAGCGACCATGGAATTGTAGAATTCTGTGTTCCTGGAGATGTCAAAAGATTGACCAGCAAAACTACTATCTTGAACTTCCAGAGAGCGGACTTTTATCTGTTCAGGACACTTGTAGCACAGGTCTCTTGGGAGTCACTTCTTAAGGGTAAAGGGGCCCAGGAAGCCTGGACATTCCTCAAGATGGAAATCTTAAAGACACAAGAACAGGCTGTCCCTGAGTGCCGTAAGGTGAGCCATAGGGGAAGATGACCGGAGTGGATGAGCCGGGAACTACTGTTGAGACTCAGGGAGGAAAAAGAGAGTTTATGTCCTCTGGAAGAAGGGACAGGCTGCTTGGGGGGATTACAAGGAAGTTGATAAGGTATGCAGGGAGGAAGTTAAGAGGGCAAAAGCCCAACTTGAACTCAGATTGACCACTGCAGTAAAAGAGAATAAGAAATCCTTTTATAAATATATCAACATTAAAAGAAGAACCAAGGAGAATTTTCATCCTATACTTGATGCAGCAGGGAATGTGGCCACTGAGGACAAGGAGAAAGCTGAGGGCCTCAACGCCTTCTTTACATCTGCCTTTAATAGCCAGACCAGTTATCCAGTTATCAGGGCATTTTACGCCCTGATCTGGAAGTCTGGGATGCTACTCAGAATATACCTCCATCCTTCAGGTGGAGACAGACAGAGAGCTCCTTCTCCACCTGGACTGTCACAAGTCCATGGGACCGGATGGGCTGTACCCTCAGTGCTGAGGGAGCTGGCGGGGTGATTGCCGAGCTGCTCTCGGCCATCTATCAGCGTTTCTGGTTAACTGGAGAGGTCCTGGAGG